ACAGTTGACCATAGTTCATTGGAGCTTTTAGCTCCCATTACTCTCATTGCAATGTCAGGAGTCATTGAAGAGTAAAGCCAGCCCATTAGCAATTGATCAGTCGACATCCACTGATTAAATTCAGGATTCTTTATCATTTCAACACTAGTGCCAGCTTCACCAGTTAGTTGAGTAGGGATAAATTCTGGAGGACAAGTTTTTGTTCCCAGAATATGGCTCTCCAGATTGTGCCCACGGATTATAGGCAGAATCATAGTTTGCCATAGCAAGAAATTGTTCTTCTCAAGTTTTACTGACACTACTTAAGTCAGATTCCCACCAAAAGGCGTGATGATGTTGCTTCCCTGTATCGGAGCAACTAAGTTGCTTGATATGGTTGCAGGATCAGAGTTAGGACCTTCATTTGCTGAGGAGTTGTTGGCGTTGGCCATGGAGTGCTCTGATACCAAGTTTGAATTATAAATATATTGAAAGATGAGCTTTTACAATCAATTAGCTATTGCTCTGATAGCTTACAGATTTATAGCATACAAGGAACATTCCAGATGATCCAGCTGGAGGCCGATCCATGAATTATGGGTAGTGCTGGGAATCTATTTACAACAAGTGATGGAGAGTGTAAGGCTGGTGCAACAGAATAACAATGCAAAGACAGAAACCGTTAGCTTCCAGCTGCTAGTCTGATGTGGAGGCTGAGGTGTAGCTTTTGGTGATGTGTAGATTAAGTTAATTCTTTCACAGAATTAAAGGGAAGCTAGAAACATATGTGCTCACTTTCCTCCCAAAAGAAGAAACATATGTGGTGTTACTTTTAGCAGTTGCTGAAGCAGGTAGCTAGGCTTTGACTTGGAAGTAGTCTAATTTTGATGGTTCATGGACCCTACAAAATCAAGCCTTTTTTGATCTTGCATGTTTGACATAAACCCTTTTGACGTGTCTAAGAAATTCCCGCTCCTTTATGGGAAACGAACTAGAGACCATTATAATTTAGTGAAGAGAGATGTCAAACTGAGCTGGTGTAGTTATTCCTAATTTCTCCTTATTACATGCAGATTGAATTTGACCTGCTCTCCCTTTATGCAGATTGAATTTGACCTGCATTTACAGTTCGGCTGCTTCATTTACTTTAGACGGAGATGGTTTTGTTGGGATTCATGGAAATGGTGGTCGAGACGACGGAGGCGATGGTCCGACTGAAGGTATACATTGTTTGCTATTAACGAATTATTCATGGTAGGTAGGTTGCAAGCTCATTGGATGTCAATAAAAACTATCACCTCAATGTCTTTGAGACAACCATAACGTAGCTTTATAAGATTTAATTTGTCTCTTTTTTCCATCTAATTGATTTTCTCTCCAAGTTTACATATTTAAATTTGCATAACCTCATGTTTGTATGAAATTAAGTTTGCCTTATTCCCTGGTTGACGTGTTTGCATTGTTTTCTACTTGCAATTTTCTTATGTGCTACTTCATAACCAATTTAGTGATGATTTGATCTTACTGTATACCATCATGTTTCTATAATAAATTCTGACATGTATTTAGGAATTTCCTGTTTCTAAATGAGTTAAGTTATGAAATGTTGTATAGAAACAAAATAATTGAATGGAGGAGAATTCAACACATTTAAACCAATCTCGTGCATTGTACGCGCAAGAACTAGTATTTTTACAAGTCTTACATTTGAAGGGATGTCAACATGAGTGAGTTGGTTCACACTAGTCCACCAACATGTAAATTTAATTTAAACTCGTAAATTTCAATTATTGGGACTGGAGATGAGGAGGGTCATCCTGTTATCATCCTAAAGTGCATATTTTGAGGTGGTTGAAAATGAATTTGTCAAACGGGGACTAAAAGTTGCATAGCTATCGACTATTGGAATAATTTGCTTTTGTCAATACAAGTCAAGCCAAAGAGCCTCTTGAAAACGAGAGTCAATCTTCGCACGTAGCATCTTGATAAATCTAATATATGAATTAATCTAGGCTTGTGGCCGAGAATGCAAATTATTTGGTGAATTCCCGGGATTTTCATCAGCAACATCACTTACTTTTCTTGAAAGTCTGTTTCTGTGATGTCCCAACTTGTTCAAAACCATCATTATTGCAATCCAAATCCCTTTATATTGAGCCATGGAATTCTCATATCTGTCTTTCGCCCGAAAATAGTAGATTAAAAGTGATGTTGATGATGTGACTCCTGTAATTATAAACAGCACAAAAAAGCTCTGAGGGCTAAGACTTGCAGTTTCATTGTCTGATGGAATATCTTCACATTGCTCAGAAGCTATTAATCCCTGCTCCAAATCTTTCAGCACCCCATTTTCTCGAACATTCAGTAATGCTTCATCTATGTCAGGAAGTATAAGGGATCCCTTTGGAAATACCTGAGATGATGAAATTAATAGAAAATAATGTCGGAGTTTCAATCTAGAAAAATCACTGACCCCTCTCTATCCGTTTAAGATGGTGGTTACCCAAAATTGTGCACGTGTCAGATTATCGATAAAAAATAAAATTGACCTACATGTGAAAGTTTGTATACCCTTTTCAGTGGCTTAAAGTTTTAGACAATGGGTTCATAAGGGAAAGAGAAATTACAAATCCATATCCTCCAACTTGGTATGTAGGACCAGCAATGATGAAGCTCTTGCAATATTTGGCGACAAAAAGTTTAGCCACAGGAGCTTCAAGAAAGGCTGCTGCAATAGCACCACTTCTGAGAGCCTGTGCATACTCATCAGTTGACGTGAAATTCCTGATGTTGCTTGATTTAAAGCCTAAAGGACCCTCCAAATATTCCCTAACGAAAGACCTCTGTGAGCAGCCAATCACCGCGTTATTGCTCTTTAGTGTCTCAATATTTGCTATTTTTGGTTTAAGATTCTGCATTGTGAGCATGCTCGAAAGGCTGGCTGTATAGCTTTGTGTGATGATCAGAGCCACAAAAAGCCATACCAGTGTCGCCATACGTGACAAATTGCTATGTAATTTCTCACCTGTCAGACAAATTAAGCCACAAAAAATCAACAAAATTTCATTTGAAAACTAATGTGATCATCTTTGTGTCTACATTACCGCGTAATGAGAACAGTGTTGCAAAAGCCAACCAAAGTAGAGTGCCTATTTGGTTCAGAACTGGTCCTCTTAGTTCAGAGCAGTAATTTCTCTCAATACTCCATACGACGAATCCATTGAAGACATTAATGAAAAATGTGAGAAACCACATGGCTTTTGTAAAGGGCTTCACAAACAGCCAAGCTCTGCTTGAATGCCTTAGAATTGGCACTACCATTACTAGTCCTGTCTCAGTATGAGAGTGCGTGAATTCTACATATTCACATCGTTTTGATATTATGGCGATGTCACCAACTGCTGCATCAAATTCCTGCTCAAACAATCTAGACTCGTGTCAGTATATAACCGGAATGAACTATCACTAGGAGAATATAGAATATCTTACCTTTGATTGAACTTTCTTTACCAAATCAGTGTAGGTTCCTCCAAAAGGAATGAATTCATATTCTAGAGAGTACTTCAAATGCTGTGTGGTTTCATTGAACACATCCACAGAAAATTCCGAAAAGGTGTACTTATTTGTAGAAGAATCATAATCTACTTTCACGAATTTGTTTGTAATGGATCCATTGGGAACTCGAATTCTCAAAGGATTTTCGATTGTCGGAAGATCCCATCCTCTTGGAGCAGACGATCGCCCTCCAAGTCCTGGCCAATTCACATCTCCTAAACTCTCCATGGATAAGTCGTACACTCCATGATCTATAGTATGGGAGAATCCTAGATTCTCAGTCCAGAATCCCAGTTCTCTATAATGCTTTCCAATTATATTGATTATCTGAAATTGAGTTGTGGGCTCTAATTTTTGCCGCGTAAACTGGATGTTCCCACTTAAACCGTCGAAATCTGTTTTGAGAATAGTTTCCAAAAGTTGCCGGCCATTGCTGTTGGTACCTTCATTCATTGCTAATCCCGCTGTCCACACAGCATCATAAGCCTGCAGCGCAAAGATTCCAGGCTCGTGATGCTTTTCCTCGGGGTACTTCAGGCCAAAGATCCCATAAAATCTTGTCGAAAAAATATTGAAATCAGGTCCAGTTTCCAAAAAAGAGTTCCTCACACCTACCACACCTTGCATAGAGGAAATTAAGGAAAAATTCATGGAATGCACCGAACTTGTAATGGAATCAGTTGTGATCCATACATATTCCTTCTCCATCATCCTTTTTTCCTTAGCCATTCCAAAAATACGCGTCGCGAGTTCTAAAGAAGTATGCACGATGAACACTCTACATTGCTCTTGTTTCAGATTTTCGAGTTCTTTGTGCAACAAAGAGGAATCAGCAAAAGAAGAAAGGGGTAAAAGATTGCTTATTTCAACATCAACAGCTTGGAAAGCACCATATAGATAAGGACTGATTCCATTGGCTGCTGAATCTGAGTCCTCATATATTACATTCACCCAGCGCCACCCCCACGATTGAATTATATTAGCCACTGCCTTCATTTGCACGTGTGTCCCTGCCGCAGCTTGAACGAGGAATGGCCAACGCTCAGCCGCCCATGGTGGACTAGAATTGGCAAATGAAAGAATTGGAACATCATAGCGTTCACTAACCTCAGCAACGGTGGATGTTTCCTCCCATGATCTTGGTCCAAGAATCACTTCCACCTTGTTCTTATTGATCAGATGTCTTGCTGCAAAGAAATTTAACGAAAGTTCTTAGAAGTCTACGGCTATTCTTACACTAATGGGTCATTCGATAATTACCTGCAAGAGCTGACTGTAAAGGTTTACGTTTAGAACACTTCAATCTCAGCATGAGAAACGTTTGATTGTG